TTTCTTTTTGGGACATATAAAAGAAAGGGTGTTCAGAAGTCGCCCTCACACCCTACCACAGCTAAGGGAACAGATTATTGCAGAGGTTATGGCCATACCTCGCCATATGTGTGAACGTGCTGTAGGAAACTTCCGAGAAGGACTCCAACAGTGTGCTGCAGCTAACGGCCACCATCTTCTTGATATTGTTTTTAAAACATAAGTATTCTAAATGGTATGTCATTCTAACCTCGAGGAAAATAAACTTTTTTCTTTATGTACCTCCATTACTCTTTTATTTCGCCTCAAAACTACTCAATCGGTTCTGCCCCACCCTGTAGAATAGAATAGAATTGTCGGCCCTGAAGAAATAGGCCCATGGCCTGTTACCGATTCTTGCACTTTTCGTTGATTTGATTCCACAAGGATCCGGCTTTCTGAACTCGATCTTTCCATAACTGACGATTGTTTGAGATAGCTGCTGGACTTATTGCCTCTCCCGTAAGGTGCTAGGCATTTCAAGACTGAACATGTGCTCCTGCATAGCTTCGTCTAGTCCGGTGTTTCCTAAAGTGGGCGATATCGCCCACCTGGGGACGGTCGGAAGATGGGGGGAGGCGCAGTGAGGGGGGCGGGGCGGTGAGGAAGAAAGGGGCAGTATATAGGGGGGCGGCAGTCTGCAATTAAAGGTGAAGTCAGAAGTTTGTATGTTTGATTGACGATTTGTAAATAACACGTGCAGAACATGACTCCGAATCGAATAAATGTTCACGAGCTAAAAATCACCGTTTGGTAGTTAGTAATTTATATTCCAAATTTCGTTCGAATCTGTTCAGTAGTTTAGAAAAAATTCTTTGATCACTGCGCATTTCGGCACACATCGCCACATAACTCCCGAATGAAGGCGAAATTTAAAAATTTTTCACGAGCTAAACATCACCGTTAGGTCCTAATGAATACGTGTTCCAACTTTTATCGAGCTGCGTTCATTAGTTCGGTAGATATTCCTTGGTCGCTGAATTTGGAGATTGGCCGTGAGACCGGCCGCGAGACCGACCACGAGTCCTGCCGTTAATTTGTCCAAACCGTCTTGAATTTCTAGTGCTGAAACAGTTAAAACTGTAAAAAAATATATTGGTTTACTAAATGGGGTTCTATTTGTGAAATACACATTTGTGTTTAACCTTTCTCTTTTAAAATTGCAGCATACTAAATATCAAGAATGAGGCGTTTGTTTTTATAGGTGTCTGTTGGGGGGGGGCGCTAGGGATTCACTGAGGAAACAAAGGGGGCGCCAGCCTGAAAAAAATTGGGAACTACTGGTTTAGTCTGTTCTTAATTGAAGACGTTCATATTCGGAGCGTCAACGATGCTATCAAGGAGGCTGTTCCACATGTCGGTGACTCGAAGCGAGAAGAAATGTTGTCGCATGGAAGTGTTACACCGCAGTTTTTTAAGTTTATAGCCGTGGACCCTGGTTGTTGTTTCAAATCCTAGGACTCCAGAGACCTTGTATAAACCGTGGGCATACTTGTGTACTTCGAAGAGGTCACCACGCAGACGTCGATAACAGAGGCTTGGAAGCTTCTTAATCTTTAATCTTTCTTCATAAGGCTTGCCTTATGAAGAAATACCTTATACCTCTCGATTAAATTTTTGTCCTTTTCTAGTTTTGGTGACCACACGTCATTTCCAAGCTCTATATTTGGACGCACGACAGCGACAAACAACAGCTTCATCGCTTCTGCATCTAGGTACTCTTAAGAGCGTCTGATCAGTCCAAGGCGTTTATTGGCTTTATTAACTTGAACTTCAATATGCTTAGAAAATTTCAACTCATTGTCGACATTAACTCCTAAATCTTTTTCCATCGTCGACTCATCATCACTCTGTCGTTGCAATCATGTCTTCTCACACTTTAATCTCGCTGTTCATTGTTCTTGCCTGAGTGGATTAGTTTACATTTGTCAGCATTAAAACGCAGCTGCCACTTATCAGCCCTGTCCACTAACCTGTCAAGATCACCTTGCAATTGTAATTTTTGGGACGTATTCTTCACTGTATTATAAACTTTTGTGTCGTCAGCATACATCGAGCATACGCTCGACACAGCTTCTGGCAGATCGTTTATAAACGCAACGAATAAAACAGGTCCGAGAACGCTTCCTTGTGGCACGCCGCTGCGCAATGAAGCCCAGTCTGATACGGTCCCATTAATACGGACACGTTGTCGTCTCCCTACTAGAAAATCTCTGATCCATTTGAGTACATTACTGTCAATGCCCAAAGACTTCAATTTACGAAACAGCCGCTCATGTGGGGCACTTTCAAATGCTTTGGCAAAACTGAAGTACACTGCATCTACTGGCTCCCTTTCGTCCAGCAGGCGGGTCCATTCGTTCAGAGTAGTTAAGAGGTTAGTGGTGCAGGATCTACAGTCTGATAGGGGGTTATTAACAGTCAATCTATCGATCAATCGATCCCTCACAACAGATTCCATTACCTTGCCAACGACACTTGTCAAAGTGACAGGGCGATAGTTGCCCGGGCAACTTTGTCACCTTTTTGAACAATGGCAGCGTCACTTGAGCTTCTTTCCAGTCAGCCGGCAAGATCCCTTCGTTCAAAGTCTTTCGAAAAAATTACGTCAGAGGGCCGGCTAGGACGGTTGCTAACTCTTTGAGTAATCTGGGGTGGAAGCCGTCCGATCCATATGACTTGTTGGGTTTATAGCGATCAGGTGTTTGATAACCACTTCTTCTTGTATTTCAAATCTTGTTAATTTAGAGCCGACTGGGCTCTCCTCAATAGCTGGAATACTTTTCAAGTCCTCTTCAGTGAATACGCTGCTAAAAATCCGATTAAGATATGATTATCTAAACTGAATATCCTAAACACCCATTTCCCATCTGCAAAAAATGCAAAACAATACACAAAGATTTGTCACAAAAACACACTGGAGAGACTTCATATCCTCAAAAACAGCACACGAATAATGTAACATACCCTCCTGTGACACAGTCCTCCACAGCAAGCGCGCAAAACGTGGTCCGCCATCAAAACACACGACCCTAGCTCTTCAATAATCTTATATTTTCGACGCCATAGCAAGGCAGCAACGGCTTTTCCAAAGCTTGAAAATATTTTCATTAGGTCCCCCATCTCCACTGCAGTACACGTAACTACTAGCCCCAAGATCTCAACATTCTACGCACACCACGCGCTACCTGTGCTGGTCGTCAGTTATTGGAAGCACGCGACTGGGTGCATGAATTACGACTGCTATATACGGACAGACGAAACGCAGCGAGTGAGATTCACAGGCACAGGAAAGACGGGACCAAAGACTACCACCAACCAGCGACTCAACCCCACCAACCATTTCCATTTTCCTTTTCCGGGCCGTCGATCCCCGTCAGGGACTTGCCCCCCCCCCCAGGGTCCCACACCAGGCACGCCCTCTGGTGCCTCGCCATATTGGCGACCGACAGCACTCAGTTCCTCGGCCCAGGGTGCGGGTGAATGGACCGGAGTCCAATCACCCTAAGGGCCGCTGCCAGCCTGTCCAAAACGGCTCGCCACCGTCCGGCAGGCACCGATGCGGGCCCCCGAGAGGCCCTCGCCTCGAAAGTTTTTATAGAGGGGTCCGGGGCGGCTACTCCCTTCTTCCTCTGTTGTGAACGGGGGGGTGTTGGGCATCTCCGCTTGCCGCTTGATCCCACATTGCCCCCCGCCCCCTGGTGGATCCTTTGCCGCTCCAGGGGCCAACAGCTGCCGGCCCCGGGCGAGTCCCCCTTGCGCCACAGGAGGCGAACCACCGATCGAGCAAGGACCCCACCAAGCTTCCGACTCACGATTTCCATCATCATCCTCGTCAAAATAGCACGCAAAAATATTAAACAGTTGAATTAAATAAAAGCGTGATGCTCCGTGCATATATGTATATATAGACATTTATTTCTCGGTGGGAACTTGAAGATGTAAAAATAATGTAAATAGTGAAGCACAACCCACCCCTCACTCCACTGCAGACATCAATCAAAGCCCCGATTAGTTTCCATACTACCCCTCCCAAACACCAACCTAATACCATGCATCTACAATTCCTCCAGTTATGCGCTATACACCCATTTTCGTCTTCTACTGGTATTTCCGTTTCTCTTTTCCGGCCACTATGTGCCACCGCTCGTTTTTTCCCTCACTTTTCATAATCGCACCGCACAGCCACTATCCCTCCGCTCAGATAGAGCATTTACTTCAAAGGTTATTAAAGCTTCTCTAATACAGTGGTTCACACATATTTTATATAACGAATAAGTTTTCTCCAACACGTCTAGATCTTGAGTTGTAATATGGGCACATTGAATCATGTGAAATGCTTAGTCATTGTATATTTTAACATTTTTGTTATTCTCTTTCATTTAACCGTTTTATTTAAACATGGACAATGCTGTGGAAGTAAACAAACCTAACAGCTCGTATTTTCCAATAGACGTGGAGGATATTTTATTGTCACAAAGAAAATCATACCGAGAATTTAGATATCGTCATTTGTATTTTGGAGGCCAGTCACCTGACAATACAAGCCTCGGGCACGACTTTTTTTTAATTTCCAGGTAGTCGCGATACTGCACGCAATAAACTTTGTGTGGATATGCTGCACAAATTATTTGGATAACTGAAAGATCGTCCCACGGACTCAATTTTGTGCTGTCGATATAATAACATAGTGCAGTTTCTAAATTTAACAGAAAGTATTCTATTGTTATATCCGCAGTCGTCCTTACGTTAAATGAGTTAAGGAGATAATAAATTCCCTCATAAAAAGTTAGAAAGTGAATAGTAATACTTATTTCACTTACAATACGGCAAGTGAACAAACTCACGTTTGCCTTGATCACGCTGAGCAAGCAAGAGTGGAGCACTGGAGCAGATGTAACCAGGCAGGGAGAAGTTGAGGGCCCACTCAGGATGGTACGGCACCTTGGCTGGGATCGTGTAGCGTACGCAAGCTTTGGTGGCAGGACACGGGCTACTGGCACAGGGATCCTGATGAAGAACAATATATAGGTAATACATGATATTCAAAATAACCCGTTGGCATAGTTTTGTCGGTGATAATCACTGATGAGATTTAATGTATTATTTCAGCAAAATGCCGCATGTCTTTCGTTTTACTTTTGTCTAAATAAAAGTTTTCTAATTATTGTAACATCGCAAATCGGAAGTCCCGGAGGTGGAAGCTAACACCCTAAAGTCACTGTCAAAAATAGGGACATCACACTGCTCGGCATGAGCGCGCACAGCCGATTGAGGGGGGCACGATAGCCACTGTCCGGTTCTACAACTCCTGCCCTTATGCTCAGAGACCCTAGAATAAAGATTGCGTGACGTCATCCCGACGTACGCAGATGACAGTGACTTTCTAACAGTGCCTTTAGGGTGTTAGCTTCCACCTCCGGGACTTCCGATTTGCGCATTTTAGAATCATTGTACATCTTTAAACTTAGGCCCAGTTTGAATTCAGCTGTTAGCTCCTATCCCCTTAAAATTGTGAATAGATAGTTTTTTTGTGTTCCGTCTATTACTTGTAAATTTAGGTTTTAATTTCGTTTTGTGCTTTCGCTGTATTAATTTGTGACTTCTGTTTTGTGATTCTAGATTCTACGAACTGACGATGGAGCTGGTCTCCGAAACGTTTTCTATAAATATTGAATTTTTGTGGACTATTCTTGGCTTTTAAATTCTTAATAAACTTGCGATTTAAGCAAATAAGTGACATCAATTCAATTGTAACATCGATATCATCCATCAAATTTACATAGGTATTCAAGTGGAAATATTCTTCCTTCACATGTGTCTGCACATGTCACTCACCCCCCCCCCCTCTCGTCCCCTCTCTCGTCCCCTCTCTCACCCCCTCACTCGTCAAGGATTGCTAATCCATACTGGTTAAGGATTGCTACTGTCAGGATTGCTACTGTCAAGGATTGCTACTGTGAGAATTGTTTCAGTAACAATCCTGAAAACAGATAGAGAATTGTGTGATGTCCAATAACTAATTCGCAGAAAAAACGGTCAAACGCAATGAATTTCGGTATGATATCGGTGTAAGTGCTCAGCAGAGCTGGGGCTGGACCGTAGGTCCGTTTGACTTTCACTACTAGGCTTGGACTTATCTCAACAAAGGAAAACTACGGATGTCGGTGCTTCTTAATTTGAAAACTTGATTACAGATGAAAATCAATCTTGAAAGCAGCAACATCCACAGAATGAAGAAATTGTACAAAGGATAACTATCATCAAATCGTTGAAGTCTCAAAAGGAAAGACGGCCTTAACACGGCTTGTCAGCTATCGTTCAAGTCAGCGCGATCAAGAATATGAAGACAGAGAACCTATTGCCTCCGCGCCAATATTATCTGTGCTTGTAATTTGAGGATGGATTTGCTTGTTCATATGAAGCCCGTACTAGCGGGATATCAATACCCTTACAATTAGCATATCAAGCAAGAACTGGACTATGTTCTTATTTTTATATTTCAGTGGTCAAAATTAGGAGTTTCATTAGATCATGACATGTGCATATAAATTCTTGAAAGTGTAATTCAAATCGGCTCAAAATAAATGTAATAATCCGTTTGAAAGAACACATAACACCTTCTTGATTCATTAATGTCTATGTTCTCCTTCCCGCTCTACTAATAATAACTTTCAGAAAAATGGGGAGCCCGTTTCGGAAGAGAAGACAAAATGTAGACCCCCAAACGAAATTTGAATCCATTTATAATTTACTGAAGTTTTGTATCAGTTCTTTTAATGACTAAATCGATTAAGGGGAACGTCTGGGTGCAAAACCGAAAAATTGGGCTTCTCCGGTTTCTAGGCTCATCTTAAAGCTTACATTCTGACGTATCTAACAGTACTAAAACCATCTCTGTACGTTGATTTATGCGTTCACGACAGATCCCGATATGCGTTCACGACAGATCCCGTCCCTTCACAAAAGTCATGGGGGATAATTCCGGCCGGGCACTATTTAGTGTGCTGTCACTGTACCTGCAGCTCAGTTACCACGCAGACATCATGTGGGAAGGTGTTCATGCAGTCGTTCTATGCACCGCTGACTGACTTTGAAGTGAGATAACTACTTACTTTCGGTACCTAAGCTACGTTACATGCCTTTACATAGCGAGCGCACCGCCAGTGGGCGGTTTATCGCCTCTACTGAAAACCTTATACCTTTCTCACGGCAAACCTATCTCATCCTACAGTTTTGAAGCTACAGCAATGAGACATATACCATTCGATTTGCAAAGAAGAAATCTACATAATGGCCTTCGGCGTTTTTCTGATTTCGTCACAGTTCGGACTTTATTTTGTCAAAAGGAGGGGTGACGGGGGGTGAAATCGGAAAATTTCTGAAAAAATTTACAAAAAATGCCCCAACATCCTCAAAACTGTAAATAAAAATTTTTCTGGGACCCAGACGCTCCTCTTAAGGGATTTGATTTATTTTAGATTGCAGTCATAGGCTTATGTGCACTAACAAAATGTGCTCTTGTTTCCGTGGTCTAAGTAATTGATGTACTTCGCTTATCTTCTCACAACCACGTGTCGTGACTCTGGCGTCATCCACTGAGCGAGGGCACAGATCAGTGTAACCCGAATAGCTCTTCGTTGAACGATGTTGGCGACCCGTACGATTTTCATAATTTCATAAAATTTTATTTCGTTTTCATAGATTAACCCAAAGCAAACCCTGCTAAAAACAGAACTGAATTTATTTAATTTCTTCCGATTTGTTGTGCCGTGCTGTGAATATTGTTAATATATAGATAAGGTCAAACAGGTAGTTCTAGAACCAATATAGCCAGCCGGGTTTTAGGTACGATGGTGAATCCGTAAAACAGTTTTAACTGATCAATAACATATCGCCTTATCTACGTGATAAAGTTATTAAAGAAATAGTGCGTTCATTCTCACCTGGAGTGGGAGGTCAGGCTGTTGAGTGATGAGGTATGTGACCCAACCTGTCGACGCGGAGAGGATGGACGCGGTGTCTCTGAGCTCGCACGAAACTCCTGCAAACATTTGGTCTTTAGCCATGTTTAGGTCATACGGTAGCCGTGATAAAGCCTTGCTTAAACCCTGATTTTGTCATGCGTTAGTCATGTCTCAGATTGCCAATAATGCGGAAGAGCCGTCGTAACTTCCAGAGGTTTAAACAGGATAAAGCTCTACCCTTCTCACCTCGAACAAATTGTTACATTGTACATCTCTGTAATAATGCTTCATTTGAACGTTATTTTAATCTGTGACATGTTATTTATTAAATTAATGTCCTTTACTTATTTCAGACAACTTGCGATTGATCTGAAACAATTTTGGATTACTTGAGTCTTCACTATTTTTCAACACAAATCATTCGAATGGCTACAGCATCGTTTCACTGACCAACTGAACAGTTAAACGCTTTTATTGTTAGAGGCGTTTTCTCTATCACCCCGATAAAGAAATAGCAAAGAAAATTAAAACAACTCCTTTTTTGAAATTTGTCCAGTCGTATTTTTGCCATTAGCGTCTCCGAAAGACCAATGAAACGCTAATTATCATTATGCCTGCAAAGTATCTAATGAAATAACAATTGCACTTTTATTACCTGCTGTTCAGAGCAATCCCGGAAAGGTATATAGAAAGAGTCTATTCTAACTCCACGTGTATTTTACGCCACTTGATTGAGGTCTCGTCAAGCCCTCGTATTATTCGTGCACTTATCACTCAAATGCTCAAGTTTCTTTAGGTTCAATCCATGTCTCCAAAGAGTAACGAAAGTAATCTTAATGTCGATGAAATATTCAATTGTGAAGCCAAATGTCCCCACGCACGCGGAGAAGGCGAGGCTTGTCATGTTTAATCATACGTCTATTGGCCTGGATATTTCTACACGCACAAAATTGAATGGGTCTTTTGACCAAACTAACACGCCTTCTGCTCGCAGCACTGATGCGCATTTTTGCCGGGATGAAGTGGAGCATGATGACCCACACATGATCAAAATGTGCATCATAACTTAAATAGTTTCAGTCATTTCACATGAGCGAGGCTTGAGTGCGATTATACGCCAGTCTATACAACAGAAGCGCCAGATCGCTATGCCAATTATGATTATGGAAAGATAAGAATTAGATTGAAACAACGACAGTAATTTACCACATGGAATTTCCAAAAACAAAAACTTTTTTGGAATGCTGTGCGTAAAAAGTTGTTTACGTGATTTTATTTTAAGTAAATCTTTCCTCATTAGTAATGAGAAAAATTTTCGTAACTAGGCAGTCGTTGTAAGAAATTTAATTACGTCAGGATTACAATTCTTCCGTGTGCATCATATATGTATGATATAAAACTAAGTATAAATGTAAATAAAACACTTAAAAATACTTTAAAAAAACACGTTTTTCTTGTAGACTAAAAAGTAGAAAATAAATTTTGGCTCGCCCCAAAAAACGGGGGTCGGGCTGTACGTTCAACATCAAATTTCCAAAATTCGTGTGTTGTGTGCTTTTCGCTTTAATCATAAATCTGCCCGACACACGTTTTTTGGGGCGAGCCAAAATTTATTTTCTACTTTTTAGTCTACAAGAAAACGTGTTTTTTTTAAAAGTATTTTTAAGTGTTTTATTTTCTCCTTTTTAGTCTGTTGCTGCACGGACTAAAAAGCATGACTTGACGTACGTATCGATGAAACGCAGCGTCAGCGCCTGCTCGTCTATAACGTCAGCGCCCGCACGTCATACTATATATATATACTATATATATATACTTTACTCGATTAAGCTAATTAGGTCTCTAATTGCAAGTTTTTATGATTGTATCTGAAATTGTTAGGCGAAAATAGCCTGCATGCCGAATTTCAGATCTCTAGAGCAATCAGAAGTGGGCTAATTTTCGTTGTCAATTTTAACAACAAACAAACAAACGCGAAGCTAAGCTAAGAAAAACGTTTGAATAAATGGAATTAAATCACTAATACAATTTGCATGGTTTCAGATTAACGACATCGTAAATTCTATGATTAAATATATTATTCTAGTATTGTACAAGTTCACATCAATAACGAGCTGAGCCGATCTTCGGAGCGTGATTTTCATATTCAATTTTGCCAATTGAAGATGAATTTAAATTAAATATTTTTCAAAGTGCAAAAGAAGTAACTATTTTCGCTCTTCTCTCAATGACGTCTAGAATATCAAACTACACGTCTTATATTTCGGGCTAAGAGATAATGTCAGTGGTTTTGATAATTATAATAGTGATAATTAAAACTTTATTTACTATTGTGGCGAATTAGCCTTAAATTCCCCTATTGCCAATCTCGTCACCTTGAATGTTCGGATGGTATTAATTGTCACGCCCACCAATGACCGGAAATTGTAAGATGCTTCCCTATTGGCTTACATAAGCAAAGCTTGGGTTGGACGGATTGATAACTCAAAAGATAAGCTTAATTGAATGTATTTATAGATAAACAGCAAAGGCAAAATAAATCAAAAGTAACGATCTTACAGACGGATGCGAAAAATAAGTACTAAATGAATAAACAAATCGCACACAAGAGCTATAGCAAAATCGAATGCGCAGATAGAGCTAGAGGACAGAGGTTTTGACAATAAACGCACGATCCTAAAACAGAAAACAAATATAAATACCTACACATCACAACTCAATTTGTACACAAAAATCACGGTAGTTCACTAAGTATTCAAATCTCACCCAACAACTCACTCTGGCGTTGCAGTCAAAAACGTACAAGCAAGGAACCACTACGAAAGTCGGGATCAGCAGCTTATGTGACGACTGCCACAAATTTAAACCCCATGTCAGAGCTGGTCGTGCTTAATTTTTGCGTTCAGTGGTGGGAAATTTGCACAGCACTTTATTACAACTATATACACTTTACTGAGGGTACGAGAATTATTTTTCTTATTTTGACGTATTTACTAAATGATTTTCAGAAAGTAATATTTTTCTTAACTCGGGTATTGGAACACAATGGCTTTTAGCATGATAGTTAAATTCAAATTTTGCAATTCTAAAAGCAATACTAAGAGCAATTGCTCAACAAGATGGTATAGCAAGCCCACACTACAATACACTTCGACACTCTAGTGTGGTACAATATTGTGCTGGAAGTTCACAATTGACTCTCACTTGCCCACAATTCTCTCAATTTAATGAGATTTCTGCGTAACCTAACGAAACATCAAACATCTGCGCAGATTTGCTACCTAAATTGCATAACGTGAACGCTTATGCCTGGAAAATTAAATTTTTTCTATGCTTATTGCGGCTGATTTTTTTGAGGACGATCTTTTGTCAGCGCCTTGAAGCGTTTGGCAACTGTGATGATTGCGTTTTTATTATTTTAAAAATGACCTATTATTGTCAACAAATTAAAAGTTATTGAGAAGCCGGTGATTGAATTCAAGGTTAAAAGTACTCACATAATTTGAAAGAAATTGATTGCTTATTATTCAGTTTTTCATTGTACGTCACCATTGTAGCTGAAGCCGACGCAGAGCGTGAAGCCGCGGCACAAGTTCAGGCAGGCCATCACGCTATAGGGACCGTCTGGGTCAGCAAGGTATTGCCTGTGGCGAACTTCCCATTGCCTGCAATGGTTTTGAAATTATAAAATAGCGCTTAACTTCTAGAGCATTGAAAGATGAACATTCAACAAAATTGGTTTTCATTCGCTTATCAAACAATTCTGATGCAAACTTTGTTTTAGTCTTAGATTTATTCAGATCCCAAGTGAGACGATTCACATATCTAGATAGTATTAAATTGAATTCATCGCAAGAATGTTTGCATCATGCGGGAAAAACCTATTACAATGGTTGTACGTTCAAATATTGGATGTGCAGTTGAAATTTCAATGATATAAATCAATGGAATTTGTAATTAGAAAGATAAATACTTTTTTATAACAACCAATATTGTTACTAGAGCCCCGCGAACATATGCTATAACACGTAAATTTTTCGCCCGAAAGCCTGCAATCCGCAATGATTAATATTAAACGCCCACATGCTAGCTGAAAGTTTATATATATTTTAATCAAAATAGCAATATAGGTTGCCGGACAATAAATACATATATCGAGAGGCGTTGAAGCGCAAACGAGAGGAATAACTAAAAATAACTACTAGAATAACGCACGATAGTTGCATAACTAACTTGAAAAAAAAACATCTCAGCCATCACAGAAGATGTACAAAAACAACAGCAAAAACATTACAAGCCCGCATTTGAAGTTCGCTATATTGCTAAGATCGGGCGAAAACGTTCTGTGCTATCGCCAATTCAAACATAATATGGTTACATTTTAGAGTCAGTTTGGAGCCGTCAGAATTAGCTCGGAGTACATTGAGGTGTGCGTTGAACGATGTAGACGAACGATGAGTAAATGCAGGTTTTCATTAACCATTCATCTACATATAACGACGCACATGTAGATGTGCCTCGAAAATGTTCAGCGGCTAAGTGGCATTTTGATATTTACGAAGTTCCCAGTTAGATGAAGGTTTAGTCAGCCGTCTGATGTACAAAATAAGCCGTGAGGATCGGACTGCCGCATACTAAGTCTGCTTAAGAAATAAAGTGGAGCTCTAAGGGGGCGGGACCAGCATAATCAATGAAGTCAATTCATGCTATGGACTATTGCGAAATTACTCTGAAAGTTATGTTCAAAGTAGTTCTTACAACTAAAATATTGAAACAATGAAAAAATTGTTGAACAAATTTTAGGAGTTCCATAAATTTCCCCAATTCATAATTTTAGAAAAGGAATCGTGAAAGCTTAGACGAGTAATGCATAATCTCAAACACTCGTGATTCGTGACCTCGTGCCAATCACACGTGTAATATAACCTAAGCTTAAACCGACACGTGTCAGAGGCTTTAATGCTCGGAAAAGCCGGCAGCAAAACTTCGGCAGCTGATATGCTCAAAAATTTATTACTTAGTTAACTCTGGATGCTGGATCGATGACCTTACTTTAATCATAGCCCCCAGTAGATTGGTTAGAAGACCTGCCATGTGCAAGTTGGTACTGCAGGTTTCATAATCGAAGTGGCTTTGTTGCGCAGGAATTTTCGATTATGAAAAACATGCGTTGCGGGAATAGTTATTTAGCCAATACAGGAATTTATGACCATCATACGCAAAGTAAATTAATACTCATTAAATTAAAGGTCCAATCGTTATTACTAGTGCATGGCAACATCCTGAAGTTATTTCAAAACCGCGTGCTCGAAGAAAATTTAAAGTGAAATATTTTGAGGAACAATTCATAGATTATCCCAAATATTCCTTAGTCCAGTAAGATGGAAATTATTTGAAAGTATTGAGATTAATTTGAATAACATTAGATAGAGTTAATCAATAAATCACGATTTTACTACTCGCAAACTTGACAAGCAAATCAGCGATATCCTAAATAACAACCTAGTGACTTTTCGCGCCGAGTCATGATGCATCGAGCATTTTTCTATCGTAATTGAAGTTCTGCATCGAACCGTGCTTTATTGAATTCCAAGCACTGCTGTTATCATTGCGATGCATTCAATGTAGTTCTACCTTAAATCAAGTTAAGCTGCAATTTGCTGTACCCGTTTTCATTTGAGTTGCTTTCATCACTGGAAAGAGGAAAATTTACTTATTGTTCAAGACTAGGTGTCCAAAAATGGTTTTAGTTAAATTGCAACTGTAGTTTTTGCATAAAATAATGTCTCTCGAACTCATTTTGCGCTTATGCTCTTAGAGAGTAGTGAGCTCTAAGCTGCAACTTGGAATGCAGCGGCTTCAAGTGGTGCAGTCGTTAAATTAAAATTAGTTCAATACACACTACTTTTTATCCAACGGGGTAGGAAGAGACTGGGTAATTTTAATTTTGATGTTATTCTCAAATTTAGTTGTGCCTGCCTTAAAAATAATTAAGCAGCCAAGACGTACAGACTAACAGTCTCCACTGAATTAATTCAATGCTGATTATTTTCTCATTTAGTACGGAACACTAGAATAAAATACGCATCTAGGACCGTAAATGTACGCGCTAAGTGAGCGTAATCGCAATTTCACCTGTACGCTTCACGTGGTCCTTTAGTTCAGACCTTAAGTCGTCCCGGCGTTTACCAGGAAATTGGTTTGTCAGTTGCAGTTCATAATTGTCTTGGTGGAAAAATATTTCGGTGAGTTAACTTACAGTAGTGCTACAACTTATTAATCGTTCATAATTAATTTGATCTGATATTTTCATGGTTTACTGGATATTAATTTTGCTTATAGTTGTTTTTCTTATGTCTCAATTTATAGTAGATAGCTAACATTTCCCCTGGAATATCTGCAGAAACTATGGTTTCACAGGACTCTTCAATCAAACTCTTTGAAATCTGAGTGTCGAAAAATTCGCCTAAGCCTTAGGGCTTAACAGTGAGTCTAACTAGTCTCTGATTGACAAGCTAACAATTGCGCAAATCATGTTAAGGATCCGGTACGCAATCACTTAGGTTGTAATGAGGGTAGTTTTAATAGAAAGTTTGATTATCGTTCTTCATTATTTTCTTCTCAATATCATTTCATTTTCATCAAAACTCAGTCTTTTCAGCTGCAATATATGAAAATTTTCGCTTACGGAAATAACGCAAACGATCAATGAATTCATCTCACAAGCTTAAAAGTTAAGATTGTGCAAAATGTACTCCCAGTAGGCACTAATTATTGAAATAAAGACAGGGTTTTGCATAGCAGCCCAATAATGAAGCTACAAGTAGACAACTCACCCAAGAACCTCGCAGACAAGGACGCGTGGTCGCCGAGGGCTGTCGCGTGGATGAGATACAGCGCCAGGCAGAGCCCTCCTGACACCCATGGGAGACGCATCATTACCATGTACTTATTTTGTGGTAAAGTTCAATTTAAACTGCGTCTTACAATCTTAATAGTCTTTACCTGGTTAATTAAACTCTGCACAGAGGATGATGGCAGTCAATTTTACACCTGACGATCTGAAAGATAGCATTGATAAGTTATCCAATGCTGTGGAAAATGTTATTATATAGACACTATTCTGATAACTCGTCCCCGCTACTGATAATCATGCCAATTGTACTGTACGTTTACATATTTATATTTAAACTTTAAAAATAGAATAAGCAGTGGAGCGTAGGTTTGTTTAGTTTTAGTTAATTAAAAAAAGGGATGCACCCTAGAACGTGTCTCACCTAACTGAGAGGAACGTGACAAAAAAAAGTCGGAAGCGTACAGTGTTTACGCCAGATACAGTCTCGTTAACGATAAAAAACGGCTTCCATTCACCAGACAAAAATCAACGCAAAATTTGGTCTGTTAGAAATCAGTAAACAGAAAATAACCATCAGTGTCGAGATCAACGAGACATGCAATACTCTAGATCAACGAGACATGCAGTACTCTAAACTAGGACCCACTCGGCGAGTGACTAACAGAGAGCGGGTCTCAGAGGCCAGGAAGTGTTTGAAATTAAGCTCTACATAGAACGGCCAATGAATGCAATATGAGTGCGCAATTAAACTTCAAATAACTTTACAATGCGTCGACCTGTTCACGTGCGCTGCGAGTTCAAGCCATAGAAGTAATCTAAATTTTAAATCATTGCCACAGATGAATGAACTACTGTAGAAGGTGCTACTAGCATGTGGTGAGACTTGATTAAATAGGGGAAAAAAGAAAGGGAAGACGTTCCTTAGAGTCTCATAGATTTTAATGTTGGGTGTCTCGGAGTGATCACTCCACCAATTTTTACGTTGCGATCAGGTTCAGGTTCAAGATACCGGTATTCGTTACTTATCGTTTTGTCAGGTGGTTGCCGAGTGGCATTTGATTTGGCACGTGAATAAGGTTCTCTTTTTGGACAGGTTTGGCAAAATATAGTACAGTGAGAGGGTGTAATGAAACACTGATACATTTCATATTAAATTGAGAAATTTCAAGTTCACATCCTACGTTAACAAACATCTCTAGTAGTACATGAAAAAGGCGAGCTGAACATAATCAAAGTCCGAAATCTAACAGTTAAATCATCATCATGTAAAATCATCTAATTTTACCGGAAAAAAGCGTGTGATCCGTTGCAGTTTCTTTGAGCCGTACGACTGTTGTAAACGACCGTAACTTGCGCACATATTTACGGCTGTACGTTCCGCGACCGTACCGCGGCTGTCACCGCGCGTTGCAGCCGTATTTCAGGTGGCCGTACTGCAGCTGTATCGCGTGTCTCTCTTCACAGTTGCTCTTTCTTCATAGCTGTCGTATCGCGTTGATATAGATGTCTCACGGTCAGTCTGGCCGTAGAGTTGATGATGACCGTACTTCAGAATAGTAGCGTAGTCTTCATTGTCGATGATGTTACTTCGGCTCAATGCAGTGCTTCGGCGGTTGAAGATGAATACAATATCGTACCGCTTCTTCTTGATGGAAATCGTGACCGTATCGTACTGATGATTATAGGTGTAGAGCTTGAAACTTAGATCTTCTGATGAAAATAGTGACCGTATAATTTGTTGAA